ATATTATTAAATCATTCTCTGATTTATTACCAGGATCAGTACCAAAAATAGCATCTCGTTCATTGTATTTATATTGTTTAAAAAGCGCAAAAATGAAGTCGGGTAGAGTGACTCGGGCAATATATTTAAGATTTCAAGTAGGTAGAATGGGATTCTAAGTTTCGTTTGTGTTGGAGGAATGAGTATAAGAATAATTTCAAGTTTTTTAACCACCAAATGATTTTAAATATTTTAACCGTTTCAATTATGCTAAAACATAAATATAAAAACATAAAGAACGAAAAAGTTTTGTGGACTTTTTTTTTGTCACGTTGAGTCAAAATTTCATAAAAATCCAAGCAGTACCTTGGCGGCAGTTTGACTGTAAAAAATGCATTTACTGCTTCTGATTGTCCAAAGTTTTCTGTGATGTCACCATGCAATGTGATATTTATTGACCATGGACGTCAGTAATTATTGATGATGTAGAGCTCCGATTTTCGCGCCTACTGGCAAGGAAGCATTGTGGTAGCGACAAATTTCGAAAATGAGGACTAATGATCGTAAAACTAGGAAAAGCCTCATCATGAAAACTGTTCCACAATCTCGTTGCCTTAGGAACGGTCGAATCGACGAAGTTCGATACGATTAGCATGAGATGCCAAAGTCAGGAGGGTCTCGCTGGCAGCAGATCGCACGGCCGCTTCATGGAGATGAGCTCTGAGGAGCAAAGCCCTTTAACATAGCGGTCGAAGAGGCAGATAGCACCCCAAACAAGTGAGAAGTACTCGATGCTAACCTTGCACATAGTGAGGAGGTTATGTACAAGTCCCAGTATCAGTAAATACTGATCGTGTACGTATGTATTTCTAGTGCATTCATTGAAGCACTTGAATAGATAAGTATTCCCTAATCTGTATAGATACAAAGGTGTCGATTAAGTTCGTGATGTTATCTGGTCAAATCCGGTATAAAGATAAAACCATACTCTTGATAATTGGTAAAAATGTATCGTATGATTTGTGCTTCTCCGTAACGATTCATTATAAATATACTGGGTGGTAGTTAATCTCAGGCCGTAATTACGAGGGTGCATCCTTGAACCAAGTATATGTTCATGTAATAATTAGGCCTGAAAAGTCAGGTTTCAGAGATACAGTGTCAAAGTTTTCTACAAAAGTTTTCTTTATTAGCATCTCAAAGATCCTCCTGTCAATTTTATTGAATGTTGGCAGTATTATTCATTGCAATAAGAATGTTTGTTAAAAAAATGCGCGCCACCCATTTTGAATTTTTTTTGATACAACTTTTTTGTCCCGCGTAATCATTTCGTATCGATCTTTCTAGGGAAAAAAATTAAATTTATTTCCTTGCATACCGAAAAATTGCTGAAATATGAGAGCAGAACCCTGCAAAGGGACAGCAGATGGTTGTTTTCAATATTTTTTCAAATTTTGTCAAATCGTTATTTTCCGTTTTTTACATTTTGAAAAATGTTTTAACTGAATATTGTTCTTCGACATAGTTGTTTTTATTTTTTTCTGCAAGAAAAAAAGTAAGATTCGAAATGATAAAAAGCTATTACTTGACTTTGAAGTTGAGTCATTAATTTTCAGATAATGATTGTAGAAGGAAGATAAACCAAAATATGTGTGTAAAAATTAAAAAAAAAATTAAAAAAATTTTACCTTGTTTTATAAAGTATCCTCCCGACAAGTATTTCAGTCCGGACCTGTATTTGATCGTGAGGTCTTGGAGCACCGGCATGCCGTCACCTGATTCACGAGCCCGTTGTACTACATTAACAAAGGCACGAGGGGTCGGTTGCACTCGATTGGGAAACCGATCCGCATAAACATGTGCCATTTTTTATTTCGTTTGAGCCACGCAACAGACACCACTATTCACTGACACTGACTGTATACAAATGAATAAAATAATTGTAAAAACATCGTTCCAAATTCTTTCGCTTTTTTGTTTCCGATGCGATGAACCGATACGGCGGATTATATCCGTTGTCGCCAAACACGAGCACATAATGTTATTATTGAGACAGGGCGGTACTCAAACTTCCAAAGGGCTATAACTTTGTTACTTTAATTTTACCAGAAAATGGTAAAGGAAAAAAACATTTCTTTTGATCAAGTCTACTCACTGTTAAAATAAATGACTCAACTTCGAAGTCACCCTGTATATATACATATATATACAGGGTGGCGCATCGAAAACGAAACAGACGCGTTTACTGGCAGCTCAGTTTTTTTTTTGGAAAAACGCTTACACCCGTCGATTTTGTTTTCGAGGGGGACACAAGTTTGGCAAAAAATCACGTTAACACGTGCAGCCCCCTGGCGGGGGTGACACCAACCCTAAAATCTTAAATGGAAAGAGGGGTCGAGTGATACCTTATTTTGAAGGTCTTTCAATTCCCTTTATAATGATGTAAAATACATGAGCTTCAGTTCAGTGGTTTTGAAGATTTATTGGTTTAAAGCTTAAAGTAGACATTAATAGGTACATCAGATTAGTTTGTACTACTTTCAGAAGAAATTTGACTAAAAGAATTTACTTAATAAGTAAATGCTTTTCTTCACTACGCTCATAGTTTGTTTATCATTCTGTTGTTTAAAATAGCTATTGGAGTGCTTTTTTGTGGCAAAAAAGTTATTTCTTGAAGAAAGATAAGGAAATATCTCGTACTTATTTTAAATAGGAATTTAGTACATAGTTGGCCACCAAACCGGGAGATAAGTCGACCAGGAGCAAACTTGTGCAAAGTTGCCAATGTTTCATAAGCAGGATGGCATCTGGCACCATCCTGCTAAAACCATATGTCATTAAGAGCCATGACTTCTAATTGTGGAACAAAAAACTGAGTCATCATTGCACGATAACGTTCGCCATTCACGGTTAGTGGATTACCTGCCTCGCCCTCAAAGAGAAACGATCCAATAATTCCTCTAGACCATAGCGCACACCAAACAGTGACACGTTATGAATCCACAGGTTTCTCATAAGTTACTCTTGGATTCTCTCAGTTTTGTCTATTGACGAAGCCATCGAGATGAAAATGGGCCTCATCGCTAAAAATTATTTTGTCTACAAAATCACCATTCACATACTGTTGGCCAAGGATCCAATTGCTGAGCTCTCTTCGTTGTGCATGGTCTGTTGGTATAAGCTGTTGAGTCAGTTGGCTTTTGTAGGCATGCAGGTGTAATCTTTCTTTATCATATGCTGGAGAGTGGTTGCAAACCATCTCGCTGATAAAGTTGCCGTATCTCTTGGCATTTTTAATCAGTATGATAGAAAATTTCGAAAAATGTCATGTGAAATTTTGCATAATGCTGTGGATTATAATATTGAATGTTATCAACATTCCTTTTCGTAACAGTAAGAGTTTAAGAAAAGAAGGCAGATATAATGTCAAACAAGTTGCCTCATGTATATCGAAGATATTTCATTTAGAAAGCTCTGGAGAAATCTGACATCGATAATATCCCAACCGCACATTATTGTTGGATGAACAGATAATGTAACATTAGGAATTCGATTTCCAAGGTAACTTTGTAACAATAAAAACATTTCGAGGTTTTATTTCAACACTTTGTTCCGTTTTCGACCTGCCTTGTCAATGTAGAGTGTTGACAATAATCAGTATCACATGTACAGACAAGTTGAGTAACTTATACAGTTTTAAACATTCCTACATCTATAATGGTCTTTACACGTGTATCTAACTCATTATAAAAATAGTTGCTATATATTTTGAAGACTTCAGAAAGTGGCAAATTGTGAATAGGCAAACTAGGGTGTCTTTGTATCTTGTTTCATAGATGTGTAAATTTGCATTTTGTTTTACATACTTTATCAGTTCGATCATACAAGTTGATGGTAGAGCGAGTCATTTTCTCCGTTTAAACCAAGACCTGCCTGCCTCTTTGGACGATAAATCAAACTTGTTCCTAATTACTCTTTTTGCAATGTAAGCACTTTGATAAAAATCGAGATGAATCGGAAAATAAGACGTAATACTTCAGTTTCATATACTAATGTAAAACTTTAATTCCTAGTTCATAATGTGTTGTAACAAGAATGAATGGTACTACTAGCGCTATCTGTTGGGAACCGCGCCAGGGACTTTCTTTCGGCATCGCAAACGGTAACAGTGGTTAGTTATCGTTTTGAATAGATACATTACTTTATCGTTTTGTTGAGCAGAACATCGGGCGTGTTGTTTTGTATTTGTTCGCGTACGTCGTCGTGTTTATTTACAATGTTCTTGAATCAAGAGTTCGCCGACATGTTGTTAGTTTACGGTGAAGCTCGTCAAAACAGTGAAAATCCGGATTTTTTTAAAAACATTCTAGTGACGGACGAATGTACTTTTACGCGACAGGGGATATGAAATTTTCATAATACTCACACGTGGGCCCAAGAACATCCTCATATCATTCGTGAAGGTCATTTCCAACAACGTTTTAAAATAAATATTTGGGCGAGTATTCTTGACGATCAGGTAATTGGTCATTCCGAGTTACTCTCAAAGTTGTCAGGAAAAGGATAACTTACCAGAACTTTTGGAACCGACCTTAGACAACATGCCACTACAACCGAGTCAGAACTTGTGGTTTCTTCATAACGGGGCACCACCACACATTTTCAGAGGCGTCATTCAGTATTTAAATGAACATTATCCAAATCGCTGCATCGGTCGAAATGCTCGTGATCCTCTAAAATGGCCAGCAAGATCTCCTGACTTCAATCCGATGGATTTCTCGTATTGGGGGATGGTTTATGAGGTTACAACTTACAAGCAGCAGAATCAAGAGCACACGAGTTTATTAGTCTACCATCAAAGGGTCTCAAGACTGTCCGTTAGAGAAGACTAATCGATTAATCGGATAGCTCTCCTCAAAACAGCATTGAGCATGATAATGTATTCGAGGAGGCAGCACTCCAAATATGTGAGCAGTATTCGAGGCTAGGTATTTGGACGTTTCACAGAATGCGGAGGTTATGTGGAGGAACAAATAACCTTTTTCCAGCAACTGCCGCTATTGAAGAGAGCACAAGTTTTCTATTGTTTAAAGATATTGGCATCACACGAGTCCATGCTTCTCATTTAAATCTGTTTGTCAGTCCACGTCTGCTGTATATCAATGCGTCGTAAGTACCGAGTCAATCTACATGACGAAATATTCTGAGAACCATTATTTTGGCATAGATAGTAAAAGAAACGAATAGCATTGTTTTTCATTCATCTCTAACAGACACCACGAAACAATCGGACTGAAAGAACACTCGTCTAGCTGTTGAAAAAAAGGGACATTCAACGACAATGGCCGCCTCCTTAGTTCTGAATCAGACTATACGTATCCAGGCATATCTTGTGACCCCATCCAAACAACTTGAAAACCATGCCACAGTCGTCTTTACATCGTGTATAGATTAGATATCATAACAACACAAAGATAACACTGCAACTGACATTTTTCTATAAACATACTTGTGTCTCATGTGCCTACGAAAATAATAATAGTAACAATGTACGAGGATATGAAAAAGGCCGAACTATCTTTAGACGAAGCTAAACAAATCGTTTTTGATTACTATGACCTGAAGGTGAGCCTGATTAAAGAGTTAAACGGTTACGATGATAAAAACTACTACATATCAGCTAGAGCGAAAAATAGCACCGAAGAGCAAGGATACGTTTTAAAAGTGATCAATTCTGAGGATTCCAAGAACGAGGAGCTCTTTGAGGCGCAATCTCTTTTATTGCAACATTTAGGTGAGTATCCTACAGATTACATTTTACAAAAAATGACTTGGGTTTTAAAGGCTGATGAACGGTTTACTTCAAACTATTAAGTCGATTGTCAATTTTAATTTATTCGTGAGGTACCTCAAGGAATTTTTAGTTAATATGTGATTTTATACCGTTGATGAACTGTTATTGTTCTTAACAAATGAATGTAATGTAGTTTCACGAGTTTGTGTAAATTCTTATCTTACTTTCTTATACAAGGTGGCGCATCGAAAACGAAACAGACGCATTTACTGGCAGCTCAGTTTTTTTTGCAAAAACGCTCAGACCAGACGATTTTGTTTTCTAGGGGGACACAAGTTTCGCAAAAAATCACCTGGGGCGGGGGTGACACCAACTCTAAAATCTTAAATAGAAATGGGAGTCGAGTGATACCTTATTTTAAAGGTCTTTCAATTCCCTTTATAATGATGTAAAATACATGAGCTTCAGTTCAGTAATTTCAAAGATTTATTGATTTAAAGCTTAAAGTAAACTTCAATAGGTATCAGATTAGTTTGTGCTACTTTCAGAAGAAATTTGAGTAAAAGAATTTACATAAGTAAATACTTTTGTGGCAAAAAAGTTATTTCTTGAAGAAAGATAAGGAAATATCTCGTACTTATTTTAAATAAGAATTTAGTACATAGTTTGCGATTGATTTGACCAAACTTTGTTTCGTTTTCGATGCACCACAGTGTATTTTTGCTTTCAAGGAATAATCGAGTATCAACATAAAGAAAAAAAATTTTACGACTTCAAGATACACTTGCAAATGATTAAATTTCATATAATCCATCAACTTGTAATTTGAGCTATTTTGTAAGCCGAAAATCCCGCTCACAGGCCCTGATCCTATACGTTTAGTAACTTCCTATTATACTTTTTTTCTTGGAACTATTTTTCAGGCAGGAAACGTCTACCGTGTCCTCAACCACTTCTAACAAATGACAGAAAATTTCAAGTGAAAGTACAGTTAAATGGAGTATACCATTTAATACGACTTTTGGAGTACCTAGATGGAACGGTGTTGAATAAAGTGACATGTACAGAAAAGTTACTTTACCATATAGGAAAAATTACAGCCGAACTGGATGAAGCTATGACGGTAAGCAAAGCAGAGCTAAAACTAAGATTACACTACCTGGATCGGTGGGTCATCTACGGTCGGGCTGAAAATTTTTGTCTGGGGCATGTAACTCTGTTTGTTAAACCCAAAAACAGTTACCTATATTTGATAAATTTAAGTAATTTTATTCTTGAATGTTGTCTTCAAAAGTTGAATTGTCTTGAGAGTTGAATCCTTGGTCACCTATGTCCTTAATGTTAGGTCCTTTTTCGGGCATGTTAGTAAGTAAAAATTCTTGTCTCATTAATGACAAATTAAAATTCCTTGTAAGCTTGCAACATAGATTGGTAAAAAGCAAGTCAATATGTCCACTAATTAACCCTCTTGTACACCTTGAGGTCTCAAGGATTCTTTTAGTAAGTGTTTGTCTAGATTTCGACATTGACTTTGAAGGAAACATTTATTTTTACGAACTTGGAAGTAAACTGAATTAATAGCAGATATGCCTTGATTTTTGTCCTAAAAAAGACGTCAAAGTGACAGCCTATTGAAGGACTTCTTGTTCTCGTCATAAAAAAGGCATCAATAAAGACGTCATTTTTTAGTCAATGACGTTTCCGACCATAAGTGACCGAATAATGACGGCATTTAGGCGTCATTATGATCACTGCGAACTATCAAAATTAAACACTAAACGCTACTAATGAACGCACGTCCATCTATCTGTTTTCCTCTCTCTCTCTGTGTGTGTTTCTCTGGATTATGGAACAACTGTAATTTAGAAAGAGAAAACGATTCCTGTCAAGAATTTTTATCTATTTCAAACACGCAATAAGAAGTGGGATTGTAGTATAAGTCATACACATCGCGTCAGCTGCGGGAAACTAGTAAATAGCCTACATATATCACTCTAAAAAAATATTTAACGTCATACTATTTGCCTAAAAATGAAAACCAGGATCTAGTTTCACCTTGATTTGGAATTTGACCTCTAAGTAGCCATTAGGTCCGAAATGATTGAACTATAAAGCTGAAAATGTTCCGATGAAAATTGCATTCTCAAAAACAATGTTACAAGTTAAATGACGACAAAATTGCATAGCATAAATACCTTCTACAAGCAGCTTACAGAGCCGTCTCTTCCCAATTGATCATTATTTGAAAAAACGTTTTGTCGCGTCATTTGAAATCTCAAAGTTGCGATAAACATCTTGTGGTATATGGTATGCATTTTTTTGTTTTAGGATTTTCATCATGAAGCATACAGCAACCGCAATAAGTTTCCATGGATGCTGGAACTTGCACCAGACATCAAAAAATACCTACACACTTTGAAAGACAGTTCAAAAGTATCCACAGTGCGTGAAGTTTTGAAAGAATTTGAAGACCGAGTATTATCCGTCTGTTCTGACTTCGAAAGAGGTCTCATCCACGGAGATATCAACGAACAGAATATTCTAGTAAAACAATTAGATGACGGTGAATATCGATTGAAGGGAATTATAGATTTCGGGGACGTGAACAAGAGTTGCTATTTATTCGAAGTTGCCATTGTAATGACTTACATGATCTTGGAGGCTAGAGACCTTGATGCTGGAGGACACGTGATCGCAGGATATGGAAGCGTCAGGAAGATTTCAAATGACGAATTTGGTTTACTCAAGGTTTGTAAAACCAATTAGATGTCAAGTCTGTAATGTTTATATTGTCTACAAAATTGTGTACCTTTAGTGCGTTCTTTGGCCTATTTGGATGTGAATATGCATTAATATGAATATTTTTATGAAGAATTATGTTATCATCAAACAGCAATAATGGCAGATTATCTGAATTGGAAATGATGGAACACCTCCCAGTGAACATGATTGCGTCATTATTCAGTCACTTTTAAAAAATGACGTCTTAATTGATGCCATTCTGACGTGCGGAGGTGATAACGACGTCTCGGAAAGAGAGGGTTCGAGAGTGGTAGGTATGTGGAATATAAGTTTCGACGCTTTTCTATCACTCCTGAACTCATTGCTTGTGGGGCGTCGTCATCACATCCTCAATTTCTCAGGAGCATTTGGATATACCGCGCGATTATTTTTGCGAGCGACTGTACGTCATATCGACGTCACATCGACCTCAGATAAACGTTATATCTTCGTCATATAGTCGCCATGTCGACTCAGTATTTGGTCTTTTATACGACATAGTATAACGTCATATAATGACGTCAATTGGGTGCGACATTAGATCGTCATAATGACGTCATTTCTACGTCATTTTTGTTGGTCTGCGTACGTTATGACGTCACTATGTTCATTGGGCTTGCTTGAAGTGTACTGGGTTTTTTCAAAATAGCTGTTATGATCCGAACAGTTTCTTGGCTAAAAGAAAGTACCTACTTGAGCGTAATGTGAAAACTGTGGTCGGTATATTTATCCAATGAAGTGATTTAGAAGCTATTCAGCTAGTTTGATATTCATGGCTTTTTTGGGCCTACCGAGCTTCCTCACTAGAATATCGTGGCAGTAAAATCAAAACGTAAAATTACTATTTATAAAGTAAAACTTTACCCAAGAACTTTTAGATTCAAAATTAAAGTAGATAAGGGCTAAAAATTTCAAGTGGACGTTCGCAGTATTCATCAAGAAATTTGGTTTGTCTCCAACACTTTTCACTTTTCAAATTGTTGTTAGGTATACAATCCTATCAACAAACCTTGCATTTACCTCACAACTGTCTAGGTAAAAGCCCAACATTGATGAACATCCAATTAAAAACCTTCACCATTTCCGAAAATTGTCTGGAACACTGGGACTGTATGGAACCCACGCACTTTTATATTTTTTCGGTCAAAAATCCGAACTTCACGTGAAATGCCATCAACTGTCAATATGAACTTTCTTCATGTTTAGAGACTGTGAGATTTTGGAGACAGAAATGATAGACTTGCTCCTTCTACCTTGTCTGAAACCTTTGCATAAACCTGAATTAAGCATCTGTTACGAACGGGAAATATTTTAAGTCAAAGATTCTTGTATAGTTCGGTTTGTTTTTACGGGTGCGGGTGATTTACAAGTCGTGACCAAAAGTGAAACATCATACATAGGACCGCATTTTAAGGGAGGTCTTCCATGTAACATTTTACAGAACCCGTACACAAAAATAACATCGGCGTACTCATCATTGCTAAATTCTATTTCACAACACCCAAAAATGGAAGAAAATAAAATTTGACTTGACTTACAAAAAAAATTCGAAATATTACGTGTTATGAAAAAATTGTTTTTATTTTTAAATTTCAACACCCCGTATCTTTTTAATGAACCTCTCGAGGAAAACAATGTTACTAAAATGCGATACTGTGTATGATGTTTCGTTTTGTGAGACACCTTGTATAATTTTCTGATAATTTTGTAATAATAATTGAAGTTGAAGTTCGCCTGATCTTGTCTATAGCTCTATCCAAGTAATTGTTCGTTTTAGGTGTGTGTAGAAGCTCGACTTTGCCAATCGTTAGTGATTGGAGCTTATTGCAGTTTGAGAGAGCCTGATAATCCATACATATTGTCCACGGCAGCGAAAGGTTGGGAAATGTTGGATAAGATTCGCAGCTATCCAGAAGATAAGCTGCTAGACAACTGGAGGGCGATATCAGATCCACACAAGAACTCTAATTGAAACTTTTATGAGAAGTCTTTTCACACGTTATTGGTTATTCACTTCTGTCATTAATGTACACATTCTACCTGACCATATGTCACGTTTAAGCATCTGGAAGATACTAGCGCCATCTGTGGTACAGTAGCAGAACCAAACAGTCTAACTCTTCACTGCTAAAACTAGAGCTAGGATGCTAAGTTGCATAATTGTGTATTCGTATAAAGTATCAACAAAACCTGCCGCAATCTTTATGCTGACTACTAACGACATACTATTACGTATATCGGGAAAACCTGCTTTGTTGTTCAGAATCGGAGATGTTTACGTTCATGATGACAGCAACAGAAAAATATTTAGATATGAGGGAGATGCCACATGCGCGGAACCTGAAATTCATTTCATGCGCAGTGTACATACATAGTTAGGCCCGCCTTTATGATCGACGTGAATTTAAACTTCTTTTCTAGTCTTTGTGCTCTTCTTGTTCTTTTTTACTGGACTATATTTCAAGAGTCATTTTTGTGTCTTATAGATGACGTTAGTATCTTTCAGATCTGTTTTTGTATATATTATTTTCATCGTACCACAGTTGCTACTATGTCTAATAAAGGTAATTTGGTGGAAACTGTTTTTAAAAAATTTTAAGTGCATGTGTCCTTGGTGTCCGCTCCGAGACGATATAAGAAAATCCTCGAACCTTTGATTAAAACGTATATTTTACATTTAACTGTACACCACCTATCTCTAAAATATAGCTCAATAATAACATAGACTTATACTATATTGTATATGTATAATAATACACCATAAGTTTAGAGCTTCAGTCATAATATAAAACGTTCGAGAGATTGTATTTGTAGGAGAGCTTATCGTATAATAGAAACGAGATTCTAAAGGCACAAGATTTCTGTTAGGAATGTTCAGGGGTTTGTAATTCGACAATCACTTTCATTGACAAACAATCCACTTTCGTTCGCACATAAAAAACAAAGAACTCTTGGACATTTAGATAACATAATAAGACCTAACACAACAGAAATAAATTAACACTTAGTCGAGAACAACGAAGTTCACAATTATCATCACAACAGGAAATCTATGGCGTGGATAACACCATTTGTCGCAGGAACGTTCTGCGTGGAGATAAGCACGTTGTTCACCTTCACTTTACCTGAAACATAAACCTGATATAAGCTTGCTCATTTAATACGCTGCTCAAAAAAAATAACGCACCACCGAAAAGTAGAGTAAATCTTAAAGTTTCTTATCTCAAGCATTTTTCGTACATAGTTGGTGAGTTAGATTTTTTCATCAAGCTAGAGCTACAATTAAAGTCTCGCTTTTTGAATAAACAAGTATGTACAGGGTGTTCCGGGTTTAAATGGAGATAATGAAGAGGTAGGTAATATATCTGGGAATAAAAAAGTTCTAAATTATTTTTTCCGTATCATATAGCTCAGCACCATTTGGTGAAATTTTGCACAAAAACCAAATTACTCAGCAGTAAGGTAAATCTAGTATAAAGAACGAAAAATACTTTGCTAGGCCCGCTTTTATCAGCTTGTTTGACACAGAATTCAAAATGACATGGCGCATTCGATATGACGTTGACATTCGCCATGAAGTTCATTTTATGAGCAAGTTGCATTTTGGAACAGGAACCCTCATTTTGTATTCCAGAAACAGAAAGCAAAAAAATCATTTTCAACGGTATGAATATCATAATACCAAAATCTTATTTCAAGGTCAACTTTGTCAAACAGCGGACAGCTGGGAAAAGAAGAATATTAAAGAAGAACGCTCAAAGCGAAAATTGCAGGACACCCGTCGGCACAGGTCCTTGGTTATGAGCTTCAAGGTCAAATTAAAATTAAAAATGGAGAAACGTTTTATTAACGGAGGTAAATTCACATCTACACGTTATTCCAGAGTCAAATAACTTATTTTCGTAGATTAAACAGATATGTTTTTTATGCGCATCGCTTTTCTTTCTAAGATCCATCGAGTTACCGCTCTAGACATCCACGATACCCTATTGCTTAAAGCATTCAGTTTTTCTAATTGAACATGGATTGTCCGAGGGATCGTCTGACTAACCGTGAACGAATAACTGTTCTCATGATGAGAGGATGGGGGTAATATGGTTAGGTCGTATAATAAAAGTTCACGAAAATAGACCATTTGACCTTGAAATAACCTTTGGTGTGGTTTTAGCTACATTAAACCTTTGAACATGAAACTTTTCTCGATTTTTAAGCGGTGAGATTATAATTAAGGGTTTCCATGTGCAACTTGACCTTGAATTGAGATGCAATGTTATAGCCAAGGTCAGAATGGAGCTCTACGTCAGATGTGTCGTGGTGTGTCCTGCAACTTTTTCATTAAAAGTTCTTCTTTAATATTCATCTTTTTCCAGCTATCAGCTGCTTCAAATCATTCCATGAATGAAAGGTCCAGGATTGACCTTGAAACGACCTATAGATGTATTTTTTGCCTCTATGGTATCTATACCGCTGAAAAGAAAATTTCCTTGGCTTTCTACTTCTGCAATAAAAAATGGGAGTTCTATTTTGAACAAATAAACTTGCCCTTTAAATGACCTTTAAGGTGGGTGTCAACGTCAAAAACCCAAGGTCACAGCTAGATGCGCCACTTGATTTTCAAAATCTTTTGTATTCAATGTTTCCGAGATATTTGAGTGTGTCCATCCATTTGGGACACCCTGTATGTTATCCCATAACTATTTAAATGTTTAACCTGAAACTGCGTATTTGATCTATCGTCGGTATATTTATACATTGTTTCTAGGCAATCTCCGCTTAAGATCGGTGCATAAAGTTTCAAAAAGATTAATCCACCCACATAAGTCGTTGAATATGTACAAAGCTCCTTACCTCCCTGTTTGCTGAACGTGAGAATCTTATCATCGAGCATGCTGTTCTTGATCTGGTAATATCTCATGCCAGCCGTGTACAGTGTGCCTGCCAACAAATGACGTAGCACCATGTCTCGAGCGGCTTGCTTGTCTCCTACAAGTTTCGCTACATCGGTCGGCGACATCGACGAGAATGCTCGTTCCGTGGGTGCGAACAAAGTGAACGTTTTTGGACCTGCCGAAAACGAAAGCCTTTTGTTAGGTAGGGCAAACATTTCAGCTATTGGACATTGGTCAAACACAGAGAAAGACGAAATAGAAAGTGAAGAAGACTGCAAAATGTGAACTTGACGGCAGAATGTGTAAAGTATTTCAAGAAATAGAAAGTGAAGAGGATATCGAAATAGGTTATGAAAAAGAATACAACGTCAAAATCTATGAGGAGTCGGAAGAAATAGAAAGCAATGAAGACAACCCCGATCAAGAACGGAAAGAAATTGGTAATAAGAAAGATAATGAAATATATGCACAGGAAAAAAATGACAACAATTTGAAGGGCGAACCGGAACAAGTAGAAAGTAAAGAAGGTAATGAAGTGGATGAGCCAGATCAAATAAAAACTGACAACAAAACGTTGGAGTAACCAAAAATAGGAAGCTAAGATCATGAAGACTATGACGATATGGACGTTGAAGAACTATTTACTATGTACCAGAATGAAATGAAAAAATATAAGTAATTTATAGTTGACATTTAATAAACACTTTTGAACACCGATTTCAACTTTTTATTTGCTTTAATCATTACTTTGCCATCGTCTAATAACTGAAAATTTTGTGTCCAATAATCGAATTTGTTGTCCAATAACTAACTTTTTGGCACCTTTTCAGTTCTTCTCAAATTCTATAAAAGAGCTGTAATATTAAGAATATTTAATACTCCCAAGCGGCAATAGAAATAAAAAGCATCACAGTTCTCCATCCCCAGTTTTTCTTCTGTCTACTGCTAGAACTACATTCGGCTATTACCGCCAATTATCCCTTGTATTATTATTTGTTGAGTGAACATAACTGGTAGGGGTATTACGTATCTTGGAAAGTGACATGTCGGTTTTTTCTGACATTGTAGATGTTGTACGCTTGTTGTATACTCGTTCCGTAGTCGTACGTGTTGCCTTAACGTCATGATGCTTCAGCTATCAATGTTCATTCAGAGATGGCGTTATTGAAGGTTTAAGCTTAATGAATCTAGAAATACTGACAAAAATCTGACAACATACCTAACCTACAGTTTCACAACACATATCAGAACTTAAACTGCAATCTAACCCACTACACAGGATGTTAAAGTATAAATTCCAATAATAATCTGCTTGTAAAATTATTACGGTAAGTTGGATAATAAATAGCTCCTATTAGTTTTTACCTTGTAGAGTATCAGCCATACCGGCACCAAAAATGAGTCTAAGCAGGGTGGTGAACCTCCTTTCTTTGTCCGATTGCAACGTTTGGACTATATCACCTACCGGTAATGGAAACATTGCCCTATCTATTCCGTGTGCTATGCCTTGAGGTATCCAAATGTCCTTCTTTTCATCAGTCACCTTCGCGCCATTTATTGTTGTGATCTGTTTCGAAAAAAAAAGATCACTTGTTTAGATTCTATCTTACATCACAACTATTATACGGAAAGACACCGAAGTGCGAAGTTGACATTAGTTGGCAGTTAAGTGACTGGAAAGAATAGAATGGAATAATGTATAGTAGTTGAGAGTGGTGAAGAAAATCGACGATGTCAAAATCAAAGTTATACAAAAATATTATCACTCGACAAACATACATATATACTCTTCAAATTATATTCTCAAGCAAGTGATGCTTCGAAAATAGCGCTTGAAAGCTTTTATAATACAATTAACTTATAATATTTACAATTTTCTCGTTATTTTGTACGCTTAGAAGTTGAAAATGAAAGTAAGTATACCTTGATATCGTTCCACTCCGCATCATGCATGTTGTACTGGTTGACTCTCAATTGTGTGCCGGCCAGAGATACTCCAGTCATTTCGTCTTGCAGAGACTCGATCTTGAATGCACCCGGAATCACGTGGTGCAACAACAGCTGCGAAATGATTTAATATTGTAACGTTTTTCTGGATTCTTTTCGGTGTGGATTAAAACAGTGGATTCCGCAAAAAGAAATGCCCTAATTTATTTACCTTGACTAGATAGAATATTTATATATACCACTATGACTAATTCTTATGTCGCGCTATTGACTGAGCTATACTCCACTCTGCTCTACTCTACTATACTCTGCTTCCCCCTCCCGGCCGTCGAGTTATATGTATAGTCCGCATCGTGAGTCGAGAACAATCTGGTGAGCCACATAGCGGCATTCCAGAATCGTCGAGGTCGCTTCGCGTCGATCTAGAAGGCGAGTCGCTGGCACGGTCCTCACAGATGTCGCCAAGCGGCTTGTACGGTCATGATCCTCGTAAAATCAGAGATCGGCCGTGAAGCTCTGGGTAGTAGGAGGGTCTCCCAACAGATGGCGCCAACGGTACTATTTATTCTTGTTACAGTATATTCAAAATATGTCGTCTCAAAATGTACATGGAAAGCATCTGTTCGATAATAAAGGAAATAGATGTACACCTGAACAATGTAGTCCGAGAGCCAGCGACACAAGACCCTCCTGAATTTTGTACATAATGATAAATACCCACTGATGACATTGGACTTTGTTTTGCAGGCCGTTATTGCCATAGACCAACTATAGACAAGAAAAAAATGCCCAAAAACTATAGACGAATGATACGAAAGGTTTGCGGTACGGCGTGTAGAAGCAAGCAATAGATGGTAGGTTGTAAAAATTTTTGAGTTGATCTACATATACGACGGGCGTTAATAAAGTACCTAGCTAAGATTTAGCTGGTAATGTCTTGGATATCTTTAAGAAAAAAAGTTCATATAAATGTGGGTTCGGAGATGCTCTTCTTTCAGGATGGAAGTTGACAAACCTTATTGAAAGTACGTTTTTCCTCATAACAAGGGATCAACATTTTTGATCCGGATCATAATGCAGCAATGTGTTCGAATTTAAAAATGTTTAAGGTGAAAAAAGTCACTTCATGAATACCCGAAACGCATAGTGATGCAATTTTGATAGAGAGGAATGTAAAATTATAGAAAACTAATTCAAAAAATGTGAAAATTGTTGCATTAATGTTAAATAAATCCTCAACAAACAAAAACAAAGTCGCTTACTATACTGTTACCAAAACTGGTGTATGTAATAAATATTGCTTACCCCACTGAGAAGTCTTGGATTTTCCCGAAATTTCTCCTCGGCTCTTTCCGGCCCGCCCAATTGCACAAGAAGTGTCCTGAATGCTCTATCTGTAGGTACAAATATGGTGTAAGGGCCGGTTTCGTTCAGAATCGTGTCTAAGCCGGACTGCTTCAAAAACTTGGCCATCGCAAACATTTCTTCCCGCTTCAATATTTCGGAAATATCTTTCCCTGCTAAGCTTGTATTGGCGGTTGCGCTAGTAGTATCCCTTAAACTTTCACTGAAAGCAAAAAAAAAAGCAATAAATCCAATCGTACAAAATACTTATGTGTTATAATAAGAAAGGAAAGTAGACATGGAAATAAGAAAGCAAATGGAAAATTCATAAATATGGGCTCGTTTATCCAACCAACTCCGATAGCACGAAATATTCATTAAATATATATTTAAGATTCAATAATATTTTTATCTTGCTTAAATATTTGTTTTCTTAAACAAATATTTGTAATATAATATTTTTATTAAATATTTATTCCATATCTTTTAAATATTTCAAATACAATATTTCTTTTATAATATTAATTAGGTATTTACTTTTCAATCAATAGAAAATTTCAAATCTCCAATAGTCAAAAAATATTTATTGAATATTTTCGGCCACGGCGCATGTGCGTGTGACCTCGAGCAACCAATGGGATAATAGCAAGCCGGCCTGAGGCCACCCGTTTGCCGGCATCCAATTTACCTGTGACTTTCACTATGATAGCGCCCTTCCTGTGTACCTCAAAATAGTTCATTATTTGAGCGTTTTTTTGTAAAAAAAGGAAAAGGGTAAGTTTTTCGATAATTACATAGCTTAAAATGTACCTGCCTAGTAAACATTATTATGCCAGCTGATTACAAAGGTATTAATAAGACCATAAATAACTAGCCTTGCAGTGTAACAGTTATTTGTATTGGTGGATTTATCTGAGAATGGATACGAAAATTATATTCATAAAAGACAAATAATCGCAGCTTGATCGAGACACATCAGAAATGTTTTTTTTAAATATCTCAATTATTATTATTATTTTTGTCGTAGTGCGTTCAAAAATTTTAACAGTCGAAAATACTATACTTTTTTAATATATAAAAAATATATTTATTAGATATTAAAAAATCTGTCGCTACAAATATTTAACAAACATTCTTTTAAAATTTTTAATAAATATTTAGTGCTATCGGGGAATGGCATGGGCTATTGCAAAGCTGCTCAAAAACAGTAAAACTTCCCAAAAACTTTCTGAAAACGTACCCTGGAATCTTCGAGAAGCAATAATGCACTTAGACCTGATCACAATAATTCTTTTTTTCTTGTATGTAGGAAGCATAAGTATATTTGTTCTTTGTTCAGAATCTCCGAATGAAACTTCTGAGAGGTGACCTAGATACGATAAATTTTGCGGAGGCGTGCATTCTATTATTTCGACCCACCTTGTGATGCCCGGAGTAGTTGATAAAGGATCGCCAGGATTCGTTTTTTGTTGTTTACGTGGTTCAACCACGGAGCTTTGACTGATCGACGCCTGTCTAGTTAAATCACCAGCCTGTGGTTCTTGCGGTTGATTCAAAATGTGCGATGTCCTTGTGTGCTTCGAAGTAGCTGCTCCAGTACCTATAACTTTAAATATACAGAGTGTACATTACAGTCGCTGTCATAGCACATAATGTAAATAGTTATTAAAGCGCTTTCTACTGTGAACTACTCACCTGTGGTTCCGGTAAACTCGTTGTCCAACAAATCAGTAATCGTTGATGATGATACCGTTTGACTGCCAATGTGGGTCTTCAGTAGTGAAATATTTTCTGGATCTACTTCTCGCGTTAAGTTCTTCGTGTAATCCTTTCAAAATGGGAAATATTTATAGTTTAACCCCTTTTGTTACCTTTGGCAAATTAGCATTTTTCAAATAATATGTGTATTTCTATAGAGGTTTGATAGTTGCTTAGATTTCTTAGACCGCAAACATATAAATTTAAAATTAGACTGACTCTGACATTAGGCGCTGCAGTGCTTTCGTTTCCTGAATGCGCACCTTAATTTTTTTTTAGTTTCAACATAGTTCTAGTAAAATAAATGTTTGAAGTGATTAGACTCACCTCGTTCCCGGTAGCAAAAGAATTCGGTATGATCGTCGCAATTACCGGCCGAAACGTGGTGGCTGAAGCACTAGTCGTAATTTTCTCTGTACTTGTAGAGACGATCGAGCCAAGTGATGAAGGTAATTTGATTTCACCTTGGTTGATCTTCTTCAAGATAGAGTCCACGTCCACGTCTGACTTGTCCTTTCCACCGTTGCCCTTAATTCCCTGTACCTTCAGAGTTCCGTCGCTCTGCTCCTCTAGCAATACAAAAGTTACCTTCTTCTGATGCGGCAGTTGCTTTCCAACCGATTCGAGTCCGCCGGTGGCTCCAGTCTTCAAAATCTCGTAGTTTGTGACCTAATACAAGACATAAAATAGAATGTTCTGTGAGGAAATGTATATAGTGGTAGGTAAAATGAACTTAAAGTACACCAGAAGTTTTAAAATGAGATGCATATTACTTAAGGAGATATAGTATGTATCCCTTTACAGTGTGCAAAAATCAAAAAACAATTGTTAGTATAAACTAATCTTAAAATACTCTTCGGAGACTTCTAAAGCATGGTTCTAGGTTTAATTTAGGTAGTCGGTGACAATTATAATAATAATAATATCGACAAAGACGACAATAATGACAACGATAACGACAACAATAACAACAATGATAATGACAACGATAACGACAGCGATAACGATAACGACAACAATATCGACAACGAAAACGTTCATAAATGTGCGCTTATAGTTATTCACTTGAAAGCTGACGTACTAATCGTCACTTCCATGTCGCATTCTGCTCTAGTTATATTTGCGATGTAACGTGACCGTTCCAAAACACATTTCACATTCGTCGATGTAATTTTTTGTAAGAAACGCAACAGATTTCTCATATCTTCTTAATCGTCTGGCATCCAACACATGGGAAATTTCACATTGAAAATAATACAAGAATATCGCATCGCATCCCATAGTTGAGGTTGACCACACGTCATCATCATTTTTATGTTAATACTTACACCGCCCTTCGTCAATTCCTCAAGAAGTGCCTCTGGTGGTTTGACTGTTGTGGTAGAGGTGATTCTCGAGAGCACCAACTTCTCCAGGTTACTGCCCGATCCTATTTTAACACCATTCGGTACTAAGCTGGGATCGCTGGTCCTGATCACTTCTACCCTCTCTCCGTTAGGTAAAACGATTTCCTCAGTTTTGTAGGTAGCTTTGGAGCTACTGTAAAAGAAGAATGAATATTGTCATGTATCCGGTATTTTTTTATGTCAGGAGGTGAAAATGAACGACTTAAGGTTTGTTCGTATTGTGGTCGGTCACTGTGTCTGGGATCCGGTCTATATAGCGAAGCACAGTGACCAAAATTTGGGTGGTGGGATCGTGGTCCCGAAAACTGACAGGTTTTCGACTATAGAAATAAAATCCTTCGTAAACGAGTCCCAAAGATACAATCTAAGAAATAACAACATCGTTACATTGAAACAACTATAGCCTCAGCACATACCCTAATAGTCTTGACTACCTATGTGGATTTATCTTCAATAATTTGTCCTTCAGGTTAAAGTCCATCAACAACATTTTTTAATATATTTGTACATGTTCTTACTCCAACAAATCTCCGGTCTTCGGGTGTAGCACGGTTTGACCCGGGACAAACCAAGGCGGAATTGGCTGCTCCTGAGTTAGCAACGAAATAAAAATTCTAGCCAAATGGCTGTGGCAACTGGAAATTTCTTCCACCAGTAAGTGTTTATATCATCCCGCTGTAGGAGCTGCGAAATTATTAACACCTATCAAGGCACTATGAAATTATTATTATACTCGAAATTAACACAACTGATTAAAAGTTAGACCTCTTCAATTCGTGGTCCTGTGCGTAACTGTGGATCAAAAGAAGAGTTTCGCCAACGCACAAATCGTTTACTTCCATTTAAACTCCTTAAAACTAATTTTTATTAATTGCAACACTTTAATATTCACCTTGATGCCAAATCCTTAGGATCGGTCCTGCTGCTGGTGATGGCTAGCCTCAGCTGTTCCAACAAATCGTTCTTCCGGATCTTCTGCATTTTGTACTGCTTCTGTAACTGGTCCAAGTCTTCTAAGGACTGAATGGTTTTCACTTTACTCGCTTGGGGTAGAGCTGTGGGAAGAAATGTTTCAACCGTTGTTCCAGAAGATGGGGACGATTTCGAGTCTTCGAACGTGGATGGTTCAGGAGTGGTTGTGGTGGTGGTGGTGGTGGTGGTGGTGGTAGTAGTGGTAGTCGTCGGATGTTCGACATAATATTGTCTAACCGCCTGCTCGAAAAGCGGTATCTCTTCGGGGTAGATCACACGAGGTGCAAGAGGTGGGGAATACGGAACCTTTTCGCTGCTTGTCACTTTGTATAGACGTTGGTACAGCTTCTTCTTTTGTTCCTTCAATCAAGACCAAAAAAAACTGCAGCTGATTTGAAGATTATGATTCAGCCCACAAATAATATTAGATCCGAATATGGGACATTTTGAAGAGAAAGTTTAGATTCTTACCTTGGTTCACCTTTTAGAGGAACTGTCATACTAGTGATTCGCTTTACATGTTAAGAAATAGGAATATGTACATCCAACTGTGGACATAAGCACAATTGCATCTGCCAGGATGTTGAGTTGCTTCAATGATATATTTTAAAAATTATAAATAAATCAATGAATATGACGAACACCAAAAAGCCTAGACAAGCTACATATTTTCAACAATCGCATTTACAGTAACAAGTAAATTTTCATTATTACTAAGTATCACATCAACATCACCGCATCACATTGCTATTAGTCTAATAAATACTTATTCATGTACCTTTTGCTGTTCCAAAAATTCTTGATGATCCTGCTGAGCTTTTTTCAATGCCTTCTCGTACTGCTTCTCCACAAAATTATTATGCTTCTCAATGATGGCTTGCTTTTCTCTCAACTCCTTAATTTTTTGTTTATGCCTCTCTGGGTCTAAGCTCTTGATCTGCTGCTCAATCAGATGCAGCGGATCCTATTAAAATTAAAAATAAGCAATTGAAAGATAATAATGATCATAAACTGCAATTATCTGTTACCAGCTGCCTATTCTACAACTAATAAATATGCAGTGGCGTATCCCAGGAGCCGAGAACTTTGTCGAAGGACTGTCCTTTACAAAGTCTGAAAAACTAAGAAAATCGAATTCCTCAAAAACAGTGAATCAATAATTTGGTAGAAAATAAAGCTAGAATTTTAAGCCCTTTCCGATGGACCGTATTCATTCGATCTATTACTTGAAAGACGCCTTCTTGTTGGTTGGTTCTTGTGCTTAGTAAAATCGGGCCTTAGTATGTCTCTAGTTGTGTTTTTTCTAATTTCAGTTCTACGAATAATAGCATACCGATTGCTGTTGCTGTTGTTGTGGCAGTTCTTGATTAATTGCAAAACGCTGTGGTTGAAACGCTCCAAGCTGTTGGTTGAATCTCTGCTGATGTTGTTGAATGTCACTAAGGATTTGCCCTTGCTGTTGTGGTGACAGCAGAGACTGGGGTTGCCTGTTGAAAAACTGTTGTTGCTGCTGAAACCAACACAAGTATTATTCCATAGTAGAAGTTTGAAAAGCCTCAAGTTTTCTGTGTCTCTAATTCAATGACATAGTGGATTGACTTGCTTCAGTAATGAATGTTTCCGGATCGCTAATACATAAGACCTCATAATCGATTTAATGAATATAATACATCAACTGAAAATACGAATACATTTCTGTATTACTAGCGTAGCAATGCTCAGATACACAAAAAATATCAAAATAACCAGAAACACCGCGGCTGGATTGAAGCGAGTGATCACCCTGTAGTGCCTTACACGCGCCATATAGGCGTCATATATGTTGATAGATACCCTAAACCGCATCCGCTGAGAAATATGCACATCGATGCCAAATAATACATAATCGGCAAAGGTGTATGGTTCGTATATCTTATTGTACTTTTATTTTCGCGGCGTTCTGTTGATATACTTTGATATTTTATTTGTTTGTGTCATCATTTGAGCTTCCATACCAGCGAGTCTGCTGAACCCAGAGCAAATTTGACGCCACGTCACAGTCGTGACAAAATTATACTTGCTAATAATACCTCAATATATCAATATCCAGATGCATTACGTTGCATTGACGTGAGTGTAATGCTATGATAAGATTGTGTCTCATTTTGTTATGATTACTAATACCTTAGGATAATCAAATAATGATTTTGACCAATAGATATTAAGTTATTCAAGACATTTCTGATTAGCTCACAGATTTCGACATGTCGTTTTACAATACCTTGAAAGTAAGAATTGTCCATTTTCATTAAGCGTAAAGAACAATTTGTTGCCAATTCATCACCTATAAGCAACAATTTTTTTTTCTTTTCGATATTGTGGTCGCGTCATCTAATTACTCCGACATCAATATCATTCTGTCGTTATTAGTTGAGCTTTGCTGTCCCACATTACCTGGTTTGGAGACGTTGCTTTTAGTCGTTTTTAGATCCTCTCCCAATATTACGAAACAGGCATCCTATATCTCGTCAGCTCCAGTCAAAGAGCATCGTTTTCTTCATCTAGGAAGTTGATTGGACTAATTTCTGTTAATTCTTCAATTTTATAAGTAACATTGATCGTTTAGGGTAGAAAAAGGTAACCTCTTTATTGAGTATTGATAAAGTTTATTCCAGGATTTTTATTTTTTGTGCTGCTTCGGAGTCAAATACTTCGTCTTCAAAGTCGATAAACCCGCTTTCCTAGCTTTTAGTAAGCATTTGTCTCTCCAGAATGTTCTCCTTTAAACGGGATATTTATTGATACGTCTGTTGATGTTCGATTTCTTTTTGATGTTCAATTTCATCAATCTGGTCTTGTTTGCCTTTCAAAGATAGTTCTCCTCAAGCAGCTTTTCCAAATCCATATTGTTTCCCGTAATATTTCTTGTTTGAGCTGCACAAATGCAATGAAAAATGCGGGTGTAAAGAGAAAGTTTGAATGATGTTATTTATAAAAAATAAAATTCTGTTAAAAATATAAATGATCTTCCCTACGCTTTGTAGTTTTGTTCTATGATTTTTTAAAATCAGCTCAACTTAATGGCCCGCCCTGTATATAATGTGTTGGATCTGATGTGTAAAAGGGCCTAAAACACTCGATCTCTTGTGGGACACCAGAAATTCCATCCCGTTGAGCGGACATTTTATCACGCACTGAGATCTATCAATCAAATAAATCGTGAACCATCGTCCATAAAACCATAACGTTTTAATTTTTTACACAGGATCTTGTGGTTAACCACACCACAATTCGTTGTAATCACTGTAGCGTAACCTTGCCGTCATCGATGCACTTGATTATGTCACTAGTAATTTTGATGAGCGCTGTTGACGCATTGTGAGCTTTCCTGAAACCCGACTGGGGGTAAGAAAAAACTTTATTTTTCTCTAACTGTTCAGTAATTTGTCTAAATACGGATAAAATGGTATCGGAGCGACACTGGTATTGCGAAGAATACAGAACGCGAATGTTGGCCAGGCGTATCCTGTGACTAAGTTCCTTAACTAATTATATGAAAATGATAAAGTTGACGTAATTGCCATATAATTTTGACCGACATTTCATCCGAGAAGCGTCTGGTAACAATGGCAATGCGCATTGTTGCCGCAAAGTTACAACGTACACGATATCTGTGTCGGTTGTGGAGGTAGCATAGTATGAAGCGTTTTATTCATTGATATGAAAAGAAGGTTTTTGTAGAATGTTGGAAAAAAGGTATTAGTAAAGAAAAGGTAAAGTGAATTTAAGAGTTTGAGGACTCCTAGGCTCATTGTTCAGGATGGGTCAAAGATCTACCGGAGTATCGTAGATAACTTATAAGAAATTGGAAAAAAAGTTAAATTATAACTAAAAAAATATTTTATGATATACAGGGTGGCCCAAAGTAAAACCATTTTTAGTGGAATGTCCTTTTCATTTTTGAATTTTGAGATTCTCCTTATGATTTTAAGCATTTTTTACATGTTAGCGTCCATGCCTGAATTTTTTTGAGATATTGAAGCTAGAAATGAGCCTTTCGTCATATGCGCACCCTGTAAAATCTAAGGAACGATTCACCAGCTAACCAGCAAAATGCCTATGAGAACTACCTTAACAGGAAATTTATTACGCAGCGCCAAGAACAATAACTCAAACACAGAATTACTTTATTAATTGGGACAGGAAAAAACAATGAACCAAGAAAAACAACTCAAAAGAATATAGAACAAACAAAACAAAATTAATGCTAACTGATGATGAAAAATGATTACTTTTTACGTTTATTTCTTTTGTCGCAGATTGGGAAAATTGATGTAGTAGCTACTAGTTTCGGAGACGATCTTTTTTTCATAAAACGGCTGCGACATTCACCTTTATTTTTGCGAGTTTTCGATACCTCATGGGTCTGTACTGCGTTAATACTACATGTTGCTGGTTGTAAGTACAAAACACCGAATATGTGACATTCGTCTTTTTCCCCTGTATCCTTGAAATATTGTTCGACGTAAGCTTGGAAAGGATTCCGTGAAAATGTTAACATGAATGCGAGTCTTTGAACTTGTTTCCTCACCAGCCGAGATGTAAAGACACAAAACATTACTTTAAATGTATGAATTCTTAGTAAATAATTTAAAACCAACCTATTGGGAGTACTAGCAGTGGAAGTAAAAGAAAGCAAACTACTGCATTATCCGCAAGTATTAAATACATTCATCAAATCGACGGAGGTGTGATGGGTTACGAAAGGCTGCGATATAATGGCTATTTGTTGTTGCAATTAGAGCACGGCTATAAAATTAATACGCCTCTAGATATCTATAGATCCGGGTATACAAGGTGTCCCAATATTCCGGGGACATAGACGTACCACGTATCCTGACACTGATAAATATATCGATGGGACATGATGTATAAGTACACAAACGTTAAATAATGCAGGTATGATAATATAGTTAAGTGTAAGAAAAATATATTTTTCTATGTATAAGATTCGACTAAATGATTCAGACAATTTTTCATGTAAAATTAATTGTGTTTAGAATATTCTTCCTTAAATGCAGTTCAAACATAAATACACCCATGAAATAACATCTAGATCTAATTTTGACGACTATGCTATTTACGAGTATATCGTTGAAAAAGAAATGTTTTGGCTTTCTATTTCTTAAATAAGAAAATAGGAGTTTCTATTTGGAATAATCAACTTGCCCTTGAAATGAGCTTCAAGGTAAATATCAACGTCATATCCAAGGTCACCACCAGACGTTCCTTTTGGTTTTTAAAACATTTGTATTCAAAGAGATATTTGGGTGTCTGTACTTTTTGAACACCCTGTATGATTCACATTTGATACAGCAAATTCCAATAGACAAAGTTTTTACTGAACAGTCACATATATTTATGATAAACAGGGATGAAAGTGTTTCTATCGAAAATCCGAATATCAGCCATATATACTAAGTGACATATAAATCCGAACACTCAGTTTAAATGGTTTTATTTTAATAAAAGTTGGTGAATGTATTTATCTTACTGTAAATAACAAGTGAAAAAATGTTCAGCCTTATCAATTGGACATTCCGGTTTTTATACTGCTTTCTTTCAATTCACTAACGCTCTAAAAATGAATATTTCAGCCGCAGTAAAGAATCAACGTTGGCTGATTTTGGTTCTTGACATCCTTTACGATCGGTTAAGATGCCTAGAGTACGGAGACCTGTACGATTTCGTCAACTTAGTGAGTTTGATAGGGGCCGTATAGTGGGACCTCGGGAAGCTGGACTTTCTTTTCGGGCAATTGCAGTTAGAGTGCAAAGAAGTGTAGACACTGCGGTTAGGTGTTGTCAGGCATGGCTTCGAGAAGGCCGTACGCAAAGAGCAAGGAGCACTGGACGCCGCCGTAGAACAACAGACCGTGAAGATCGCCGCCTAAGATTATTGGCGTTAAGGGACCGTTTCTCCACTACCAGGTCCATTGCAAATGAATGGTTTGCAGAACACGGAAGACCTATTGGCATGCGAAGTGTTTACCGACGAATGAGAAGTTTTGGCTTGTTTTCATACCGGCCACACTGGGTCCTCCCTTTAACTCGAGAACACTGACGTAATCGCCTTGAGTGGTGCAGACAACGGTCACTCTGGGATCAGGAATGGAACAGTATTGTCTTTAGTGACGAGTCTCGATTTTGTTTAGGCATGCACGATGGTCGTGCCAGGGTTAGAAGGCGACGTGGTGAAAGGAGGAATCCACAGTTTTTTGTTGAAAAACATGTTCATCACACTGTTGGAGTTATAGTTTGGGGTGCTATAGCTTATGGTTCCAGGTCACCTTTAATCTTCATCAGAGGTAACATGAACGCGCAGCGTTATATCCACGAAGTTCTAGAACCCCATCTTTTACCCTATCTTGACACCCTGGCAGATCCAACTTTCCAACAAGATAATGCCCGACCACATGTTGCAAGAGTCACAATAGACTTCTTTCAACATAATGATGTCACATTTTTACCA